TGTATCATGCTGCTGAGTGACTGCTGCTCGTCAAACATATTTCATTGCAATGTTGACCCTGTGCTAACTTGCATATGACAAATAAAACTGAAAACTAAAAACCTTTTTGTATACACACCTGGTGGACGTTTGTAAATAAATTCTCTTGTGTGCATCTGACCTCTGAGTCCTGCGTGTGAGTCCTCCATGTCAACCGTAACAGAACTACCTACCCTCTTCCTGTAACCACTTCCTGGGTCTCATTTCAGGGGCTCAGTATTTTTGTCACTGAGCAGTGACAAAATTTTCTCATGATAGTCTTTCTGGTTTAGCAAAACCATGCATCTACCCTTGTCTGCCACAAGGATGATAATGTTGTTGTCATTACTAAGTGATGTGAGTGCCTTCCTCTCCTTCATGCTGATGTTGGATGCTAGGGGCTTTACATTGCTGAGACAGGCTGAAAAATTCGTCCGTAGTTGCTCTGCTTCCACATCTGCAACATTGTTATTTCAAATTGCTGTTTCTGTGGCTGTGTATAAGATTGGGGAAACCTGCAGTCAGCTGAGACTGAAGAAGTCACTTGGATAAGTGATGAATTTTTTCTCTCACTAAAAAAGGCTACGTCCAGATGAACAGAATCATCTTTTTGAGATTAATGCTGAAAAGCATAAGCCTGTGGTCAGGTCTGTTTCTAATGCCACACATACATATTTAATTTGTTTTTTTGTTTTTTTTTCATTTTCTCATCTTCTCTTATTTTTCCATCATCGCATTAGAAAAAATAGCAGACTTTCTGATACAAAAACTGATGGTACAAATGCTGTTAAATGTATGATGCTGGTTTAGCAATGCCTTCTCTATGAGGAAAAGTTATGTTGCACAATACGTTTCGAGGCACTCTAATGTGAAGAAAATATCTAGCCGGCAACATCAAGCTTGTGAATGATAGTCCTACCAACTCAACAACAAATACTATGTATTTACATAACTGAAAATAGAATACAAAAGAATGCAGCACAGTAAATAGTATTTTAAAATTGCATGTTTTAATCATCAAAAGTGTCAGCATACCAAAACAAGATTTGAACAGACCACAGATATATGCCCATATATAACGTGATAACATTTAAAGAGAATTACTAAAAAATGTTTTTGAATGTATTACTTCAAAATTGCCAGGCTGTAGTTTTAAATCATTACTGAAGTCATGGAAATACATCAGATAAAGATTAGCCAATCACTGTAATTGAGAAACAGGATATAAGAAATTGTTGCCATTTTCAGATAAACAAATATTTCATGTCCAAATGTTTAAACTGTCCACTTCTTCTTCTCTTATGGTATCAACAGTTAGTCTAATTTCTACTAATAACTGTTTCCTTTCCCTTGTGAAGTGCCCAGAAACTTAAGCTGTCCCATAAATCTATTGGAGTAATGATTGTTTCAACTTAGTATTTGAGTACAGGACTAGTAAATGTGTTGAGTTACATTCCACCACTTCCAAAAAACACTTGGAGCAACACAACAAGAACACAGAGAGAGGTGAAGTGAGTGAAGTGGATCAGGTTTTCACCACTGCAAAACAAACTGTCACTGTCACATGGGGTGGTGGGTGGTGTATCTGTAGTGGGTGGTGTTGATGTGGGGCAGGTGAAGAATAAGTCAGAGTCAATGTCCAGGGTGAAGTAGTTAACAAAGCCTGGTGGTGTTCCGGTGACGGTGGTGCTGATCCAGTTTTGGTACTGGGACACACGAGCGTAGACTCCAGGACTATTAGGCAGGGCGCAGAATTCACCAAAACTCACGACTCCACTCTGGATCCAGATACCGCTATTATCTTTTGTCACAAGTGGTCCCCCCGAGTCTCCCTGTGAAAAAAGTGTAAAAGTTGTTAAAACAGATTGAGATCAGTTGAACATCTCATGGAGCTTAATTTCTACTAAATGCATAAAATGTTTCCAGAGATGTTTGTGTTAATTGTTAATCAGACACAACTTTTGCTGATTAGTTACAGTATCACCCAACACCCTCAACTGCACGTCACTACATGATGTGATGTCACTGACAGAAATTATCACAAAACCTTTGGGAAAACCTTTATAGAATAAATTAAATACATCTAAGTGAAAAGAATTACAAATTATGAGTAAATGAGCTTCAATGCAAAGCCTCTTTTCCACCAGTACCTCCTCAGCTTGACTCTGTCATTTTGTCGTACAATAGAGCACCACCTGCGTTGTATCATTAAAGCAACATGGCAGAAAGTCCACTGACCTGAACACAAACTAACCATGGAAGGCTTCGAGGGGATTCTCTACCTGCTACTTGGTCTATGGTGACTCTCGGACCATGGTGTTGGTTTCTGTGTACCCATTTCTGTTGTTGCATGCTTTCAAAATGGTGCTTTTGATTACTGTTAAGGAGTGACTCTCATGAGTCCTTGAGCTACACCACTGACTGGCCTATCAGTGACATGCAGTCTCTTGATGTCACATTTTTGTATCAATTTCGTTCACTTGGAATACCGGCTGAGCAGTACTAAAAATAAATAAATAAAAGTACCTGGTACCAGGTGATAACACCTAACGAAAACCTTGAAAACTGAGCTGAGTCAAGTAGGTGCTAATGGAATAGGGCTATAATGTTAATAATCATAAACACTACTACAGAAAAGCAGTGAGTGGTTAAAAGCTGATAGTCAGTGCAGTCAATTAGGCCTTACATTACAAATAAGCACAAAGTGGTAGTCACCTGACATGAATCCTTCCCGCCATTTTTCAGTCCAGCACAGATCATGTTATCTGTGATTGCAGCGAAGTTTTGTAATTCGCATCTGCACTCGTTGTTTCCCACTATTGGTACATTCACCTCCTGCAGAATCTCTGGGGTGGGACCATTACCTAATTGGGAAATGTTAAAAGGAAGATCATTTTTACTGAAGCATGTATCACTAATAAAAGAAAATACATATTTTAAAAAACTTACTTTCTAGGGTACCAAAGCCAGTGACCCAGCTGCTGGTGCCATTGTTGAAAGTGCTGCCGTCTGAGGCTAAGCAGACTGGCTGAATGTAGTCTGTGAAATTCACAGGAGTCGACAGCTGCAGGAGGCACATGTCATTCTCATATGTTGCAGGATTGTAATCGGGATGGCAGATGATTTTTTCAAGTGTCACAGTAACTGCATTTGGGTTTGGACCAGACGCGGTGTTGTGGCCCAGAGTCACGTTTGTGGTGGGACGATCAGCACTTGAATGAAAGTAAAAATATATAGTTATTTTTATAGCATTGCATAGTGATCATTATCGTTGAACTACCGTCACAACCAGGTAGCAACAGATGCTTATGAGATTTTGATAATAAATATATACAGTGACTTGCAAAAGTATTTGGCCCCCTTGAACTTTTCCACATTTTGTCACATTACAGCCACAAACATGAATAAATTTTATTGGAATTCCACGTGAAAGACCAACACAAAGAGGTGTACACGTGAGAAGTGGAACGAAAATCATACATGATTTCAAACATTTTTTACAAATAAATAACTGAAAAGTGGGGTGTGCGTAATTATTCATCCCCCTGAGTCAATACTTTTGTAGAACCACCTTTTGCTGCAATTAAAGCTGCCAGTCTTTTAGGGTATGTCTCTACCAGCTTTGCACATCTAGAGACTGAAATTCTTGCCCATTCTTCTTTGCAAAACAGCTCCAGCTCAATCAGATTAGATGGACAGCGTTTGTGAACAGCAGTTTTCAGATCTTGCCACAGATTCTCAAGTGGATTTAGATCTGGACTTTGACTGGGCCATTCTAACACATGGATATGTTTTGTTTTAAACCATCCCATTGTTGCCCTGGCTTTATGTTTAGGGTCATTGTGCTGCTGGAAGGTGAACCTCCGCCCCAGTCTCAAGTCTTTTGCAGACTC